AAAACTATTCAGAGGGGATTCTACCTTACCCACCTCATTCTGAAACTAAGCACAGCCATAAAAACTTATAAGCCAGCCATCTCATACCTTTATAGCCACCACCACCCCCCCATTTTTGATAGCCAATGTCTAAATTATCCATCCCTATCAGCTCAGTCCACTGAGGAGATAAGAATATTCCTTGACCGGAACAATATTCTATTCTAGTTGGAATTTTGAGCAAGTGCATCCATAAGCAAAAGTCCAGTTTATCGAATTGCAGCAGTTGACATTTGCTCATAGTATCAAACATCTTTATCTTCACCTGGTGGGGTTCTGGTCAACTCAGCCCAAGCCATCCAAGATAAGTCAATTGGGTACCAGCTGCAAGTTTGAGAGTTCAGGCACACTTCCCTGCACTTCAGACCAGCTGGCCTCTTCACTCTCAGCTGTAACCTCTAGGGGCTACATCAGTGCCCATGGGCTCGGGAATTCACACAACTCCCTAAACTTCAGACCAGCAGCCCTTCCCTGTCTCACTGTCATCTCAAGGTCAACAGGTGCCAATGGAATATGTCCAAACTTAGCCCATGTCTTCATTGCTGCATTTCCCTCACACACACTTACACCTGGTAGACCCAGGGGATCACCAGCGAGCATGCTAGACTGCTCGTGGGTTCCCTTTAACTTTCAGTCTTTGAAGGTGGTTTTTCCTGATGGGCTGAATTTTCTTGTTTTCAGACTTTCAAAGCCAACAGCTTGCTTGAAACTCAAAAAGTCAGACAGTCTGCTTTTTTCATAGGTCTTTCAATAGGTTCTCCCAGCAGTTCTGGGTAGGTCTGCATGTCTTTTCAAATGGGAATACCCCAACTCAGAAGGTTCTGGATGGGGCTCCACATTCCACCTAAGGTCCCATACAGTACAAAGACTTAACAAGAAACCTGTTTCTCTGGGCAAATTCCAACTCCCCTTTTAGCAAATCCAGTCAATTACAGGTTGAAGGCAGATTTGCAAGCTTTCTGTAATCATAATTCCCAATATTCATTTCCATCACACACGTATGTCTATATTACAGTAGTAGGCAGGGGAAAACAATATCCATAAGGCAGTGAAACACATAAACTTTCTTTTTTATCCCTCCCTTCCCCATTCAACCTGTGTCTCAATCTATGTATCTACTCACATAACACTGTTGTTCCAAAGCGGTGTATGTATCACTATTTACCTCTGTCTCCTTTAGCCCAGGCATACATTCTTATATCTTCATCAAACTTAATCATTCATCTGCCCCCTCTCTCTTCTTGTATATTGCCCACCCCTCCTTTCCTAGTGCCCTCCCCATCACACGAACTAACATGTGTCTACCCTCTAGTCAATGAACCACTCTTCCCTCCCTGCCACCCCTGGTAACCATCGAAGAATGTTTCTTCTAGATTGGAAACCTTTTCTTACACTTTCACAATAATGGTCCCATACATATTTGTCCTTTTAGGATTGACTAAGGAGCTCTAGTAACGTAGTGGTTACGAATCAGGCTGCAAACCTCAAGGTCAGCGATTCGAAACTACCAGCTGCTCCATGGGAGAAAGATGAGGCTTTCTGCTCCTGTAAAGATTTACAGCCTTGGAAACCCTGTTCAGGGTTGCTATGGGTCAGAACCGACTCGACAGCACTTAACAACAACAACAAAAGTTCACTCAGCATAATATCCTCCAGGTTCATCAATGTTATGAGGTGTTTTGCAGCTTTATCATTATTCTTCAGCATTGCATAGTATTCCATTGTGTGTGTACCAAAGTTTTGTTTGCCCATTCTTCCACTGATGAGCACTTAGGCTGTTTCCATCTTTTTGCTATTGTGAATAATGGTGCAATGAACATCAGTGCGCATGTGTTTACTCTTGACCTGGCTTTTATTTCTTGTGAATGTATACCAAGTAGAAGGATTGGTGGGTCATAAGGCATTTGAAAGCTAATTTTTCACAATTAAGTCTAGGAGAGCAGTATACAAGGCCTGTGCCACAGAAAACAAGAGTGCTGACTGCCACAAAGTTAGATAGATGCATCAGCAAATCCCACTTCTGATCTCTAGCTCCTTTCTCACTGTGCCCTATGCAGACTTCATTACCTTCCCTGAGCACTTGTATACAACGAATGTTGACTGAATGCATGCATCCTTGTTTGTTACTGTTGTTAAGTGCTGTTGAGTTGGTTCTGACTCATAGTGGCCCTATATAGGGTTTCTGAGGCTTTAAATCTTCACGGGAGCAGAAAGCCTCATCAAAGCCTCATTGTTCTTCCTTGGAGTGGCTGGCATGCTCAAACCATAGACCTTGTGGTTCACAGTCCAGTGCTTATGGTATAGAGCCACCATGCTCCTGTATGCATCCATAGAGGACACCAAGGAGCCCTGGTAGCGTAGTGGTTACAAATCGGGCTGCAAACCGCAAGTTCAGCAGTTCAAAACTACCAGCTGTTTCTTGGGAGAAAGATGAGGCTTTCTGCTCCCGTAAAGATTTACAGCCTCAGAAACCCTGTACAGGATCGTTATGAGTCGGAACTGACTCCACGGCACATAACTACCACCAACCATGGTGTGGCGCTATAGGATAAACACTGGACTTCTAACCATAAAGTTGGTGGTTCAAGCCCATCAGTCACTCCTTGGGAACACTACACAGGATTGCTGTGAGTCGGAATCAGCTCGATGGCACTTAACAACAACAATAATGTGTGTTAGGGCCTGAGGACCCCTGGTGGTGCGGTGGGTTAAACACTGGGCTGTTAACTACAAGTTTGGTGGTTTAAACCTACCAAGCACTCTGAAGGAAAAAGATGAAGCTAGGGTGCAGCTCTACCATGTCCTATAAAATCGCTGTAAGCTGAAATTAACATGATGTCAGTGGGCTTCTTTTGTTTGTTTGGTTTGGTGCTCCGTTCTGAGATTGAAGGGCAAATGATATAGTGACTCCCACTCTGAGATGTTTCCTAACTTACCAGGATAACAGGAAAACAGGCATTTTAATTTCAGAGGGCAGAGCTAAATGATGCGATCTTGGAGGAGGGATGAGTAGGCGGCACCTCTTCCACTTTCCATAAGTCTCGTCCAATCTCTCCATTCATTATTCTCTTTGGCTAAGAATAGGGTTGTTGTTGTTGTTAGGTGCCATCGAGTTGGTGCTGACTCATAGGGACCCTGTATAGGGTTTCCTAGGAGTAGCTGGTAAGCTTGAACCACTGATCCTGTGGTTCAAACCGACCTTGCAGTCCAGCGCATAAAACCGTAGCATCACAGGTAGATGATACAATATGTGCCTATGAGGTGGGATTAGAAGTTATGGCCAGTGGTTCAAACCCACCAGCCACTCTCAGAAACTGTATACAGGGTCCCTATGAGGCAGAACTGACTTGACGACACAATCAACAAACAGCAATGTGATAAAACTAACTCAGCTTCCCTTTGGATAATACTTTCTAGTTTATTATGCAGGCTCTCTGGAAAATCACTGGCTTGTTTGACAAATGGCAAAACTGAGACTGGTAGTTTATTGAAGTTCTTAAATGCCCCACTTCTCTACACAGACTCCGAGTTGTGATTCCCGGACTGGGTATCACTCAGTGTGATCATGTGATTGTGCCCTGAGCTGTGTAAGTCTGTAAGAACTCTCTCTCCCCAGCCTGGACAATAGAAAATGAAAGCAGCTTTTCAGTAAATACTGCATTCGGTACAGTTGAGGCGGCCCTAGCTGTTGAGTGGGTGCTGTGCTGACTCACAACTGTGAGTGATCAGTCAGTGCTGCCTGGCACCATGGCTGTGGGGTGCGGGAAGGTGGGAGAGAGAGAGCAGAGGTGGGTCCCTTTCTCTCTGGCTTGTCTGCAGCAACTTGTGGACAAGGAAGGGAGGCAGAGTCTCTAGGGCCACCATGTGGAAAAGTGATGAACTCTGGCCAACCTGATCATTCTCCTTCTCTAGGGTTTGCTCAGATTTCTGGCCTTGCGCTAGCCTTCCATTGATTAAATGAGATAATGTATGTAAAGCTCTTGGCACTTAACATGTGGCCAATAAATGGTAACTGCTGTAATGATGATAATTACAGTAATATAATCATGATCTTATCGAATACTGTAATACCAGAGCAATTATGTAAAGCATTAATTATTTAATAACCACGACAATAATACATATAACAATATTATAGTAATCAGGGCTCCTGGTGTGGCGCAGCAGGATCAGTACTGAACTGCGAACCACAAGGTTGGCAGTTCAAACCCACCAACTGCGCCTTGGAAACCCTGTGCAGGGTCACTATGCGTCAGAACCAACTCTACGGCACTTAACAACAGTAACAACAACAATCAGAGACGTACCATGGGGACTGGGGTGGTGTAGTGAGACTGGCCTGCATAAAAACAACATTAGCAGGCAAACTTTTAGCTGATATTATTATTGATTATTGTTTTTCAGTTTTCAGAGACAATATTGCCTGTATGGAAGTGAGTGTGGGGGTACAGAGATAGGCCGCTTCTACCACCCACCCTTGGTAGGCCCTGATGATAATTGTTGCTAAGTGCTATCCAGTTGGATTTGACTCATCGTGATCCTGTATAGGGTTTCCAAGGAGTGGCTGGTGGGTTTGAACTAAAAACCTTGTGGTTAGAAGTCCAGTGCCAAGCCTACGGCGCCATACTAGAGTCCATGATGATAATGATTATGTTTAAATTGTTCTGTTGGCTACACACCCATTCCAATGACTAGTGTGTTAATAAGGAAGTCTTTGGGGGGGAGTTGTTCAGATTTGTATGTCCAGGACTGGGCCTTGAAGCCTGGTGAAGCTGGCCCTAGGACAGTGTGGGGACAGAGGCCTTGGGCTATGTGTGGCACTCTGCTCAGAGCTGAGCAGCCCCTCTGAGGACAGCCACCACACACCACACCTGGAGTCCTCCTCCCCGATGTAGAGATCCAGTGACAGACAAGTGGCTTCCTTCCCTTTGCCTCATGGAGATTTTTCTTTCTTTGAGTAGGAGAATGCCCAGATCATCAAAGAAGTGGAAGTGGACAAGGTGTCGGCGTTATCCAGAACCCAGGTCGAGGCCATCAAACAGCTTTGGCAGGATCCCGGGATCCAGGAATGCTACGACCGCAGGAGGGAGTACCAGCTGTCAGACTCTACCAAATAGTGAGTATAGAACCCTGGTCCACCGCTGCCCAGAGGGCTTTCAGACAAGCCTGCGGGGGTGCCGGGAAGCAGCTTGTTAAAAGGAGAGTACTCAGTGACAGTAGTCCAGGTGTGGCACTGTGGGTTAATGCGCCAGACTGCAAAGCCATTTGAACTGCAAGGTCGGCAGTTCAAACTCACCAACTGCTCCTCGGAAACCCTATAGATGGTTGTTATGGGTCAGAATTGACTCGACAGCACTTAAGAACAACAACAACTCAGTGACAATGCTTTGAAGAATGAGCACCATCTCATTCTTGCTTTTCTGTGTCCCATAAGGTCAGTGGTTCAAATCCACCAGCCATTCCTTGGAAACCTTGGTCATTTTGAGTGAGAACCAACTCAATGTCACTTAATCACAACAAACAAATTGGCTCCCAATTCATGGTAACCCAGTGCATGACAGACCTAAACACTGCCTGGTCCTGTACCATCTTCAGGGTCAGTGGCAGATCAGACCATGTTTTATTGGCTGAGTTTTGGAAGTAGACCTTTCTTCATCTGGGAGCTCCGCTGAAAACCTGTTTAGCATCAGAGTAACACAAAGGCCCACGCTGACAGACAGTGGTTCTCCTGAGTAGAAGGAGAGAGTTGTGCATACCATTTTCTAAATGCCTTCTTTCAACCTGTGGGTCCCGGGGCCCCCCACCACATACACCCATCTTTCCTCATTGTGTTCTAAGACTGCCACTTTCAAGGAAAGACTCAGTCAAATTTGGTTTCCCTGAGGGGGATTGATCTCAAATAGGTTGCTGCTAAAATGATCTGATTTAAACATGTACACCTGCTCCTGCCTTCCACCTGTCTCCTCTCCACCTCTCGGCCTCTCTGACTTTCTGGTCAGAAGGCAGCAGGTCCATTTTTCCCAACTCCAGAGTTACAATAGGCCTGTCAGATGCTGGTCTGGTGCTGCCCTCTACTGGGCATAATGTGAATCTGAGGTTAGCACATGTTAAGTGCCATTAAGTCAGTTCTGACTCATAGGGACCCTGTTTAGGGATTCCAAGAAGTGGCTGGTGGATTTTCACTCTCAACCTTGTAGTTAGCAGTCCATTGCTTATCCTACATTGCTACAGCAGGGTTCCACATGGTTGTTGTTGTAAAGTGCTGTTGAGTTTGTGCCAACTCATAGCGGCTCTGTATAGGATTTCCGAGGAGCGGCTGGTGAGTTTGAACCGCTGACCTTGTAGTTCAAACCAACCTTGAGGTCCAGTACTTATCCTACAGCACCACCCGTAAGTGCTTTTTAAAATTAAATTTACTTTATTTGTTTATTGACTGCTTGCTTAGACCTGTTGTTGTTAGCTGCCATGGAACTAGCCCCCAGCTCATGGCTACCTCCTGCACAGTGGAATGAAACCCTGCCTGGTCCCACACCATACTCATGGTCAGCTGTGCATTGGACCGATTTGATTCAGCGGGTTTTCATTGGCTGATTTTTAAAAACAGATCTCCAGGCCTTTCTTCCTAGCCTATCTTAGGCCGGAAGCTCCGCTGAAACTTGCTCAGCATTACGAGAGCAACATGAAGCGGTGGTTGTGATGAGGGGCGTTGGTTGGGAATCGAACCTCAGTCGCCTACATGGAAGGTGAACTTCCACTGTCCCTCTGCTAAGGCCTACATTTGAGACACAGAAAACTCTAGTTTTTAGCCATTGATCTATTAAATTAAAAAGAAATCGATTGTCCTGCATACAAACTATCCAGAGATCACAGAATTGCATTTTCTTAAGAATTTTCTGAGGCAGCGCCTCTGTCAGCCTGGTTACAAAGTGAGTAGTTTGATCCCGGTCCTGCCTTTTGGAGAGTCAATGATTCCTACTTGGGATGTTCAACCCTGTCTCCCTTGCCACATACCATCCATCGTAGTTTGTCTGGATGTTTCTGAAACCCTTTCCCCAGGCCAATCCCTTCCCTCCAGCCAGTTGTCTTAGCTGGCTCTGGTCAGGTGGTTCATCCCATTGTCCACACAAGGCAGTGGACAGAAGAGGAAACCTCAAATACTGCCTCCTGCTGTTTCACTGGTCTTTTGGCACTTACGACAGACTGAGTGTTTGATGTCATTGTTCCTGGTGGACCAAGTTGATCTGACTACAGTAGCACTTAGGTGCAAGCACATCAGGCAGGACAAGGAAATAGACTCTGGTCTAGGCTCTGGGTCAGCACAAAAAAGAAATGGAAGGGAGTGTCCCAGGCACACTCCCCTTTGAAAGCTCAGCCTGGTGTGATTTGCTTCTGTGAAGGTTCTGGGCACTGGCTGGGGCTTTTGATGTCCATCTACATGGAAAACACCCATCGGGACTGATGTAGGATGTAGTGCCTTGAAAATTGGGCAAGATACTCTAGAGGAACATAGGGAGTGGATAGGGTGGAGGACAGAGGTGGAGCAGGAAAAAATGGCATGACGTAGACAATTGTCTAACCTTCAGAACTGCTAAGATAGGACCTCGTGTGCCTTTTCCTCAGCCTGGCTCAGGGGTTCTCAACTGAAAGTGATTTTGCTCCCCACCTACCTCCCTCAGGGCATTTGTATCTGGAGACTTTTTGTCATCACAACTGAGTAAGTGCTACTGACATCTTGTGGATTGAGGCCAGAGATGTGGCTGAACATCCTTTTAACGGTGCATCTAAAACATCATTCCGTTAAGTTCAGCTTCAGCCTGAACCTGGAAACCTTATGTGGCAAGTATAGTCAGTCCTATGGGGTTGCTATAAGCCTGAATAAGCTTGGTGGCAATGGGTATAGGTAATGTTTCATTGCATAAATATGCTGTATTTTGTTTATTCGTTCCTCTTTTCACAGACACTTGGAATGGTTTTCACCTTTTGACAATTGTAAAGCATGCTGCAGTGAACCTTTGTGTACAGGTTTCTGTATGTAATTCTGTTTTTAATTCTATGGGGTAGATGCATAGGATTGGAATCTCTGAGGCATGTGGTAGTCCTGTGACAGACCACTTTTGATACACCTGGCAAGTAATTATGGGCTCCCATGAGGGTGATGCTATATTGGAGAACTGCAGTGTTAAGGAATATGAGGGAACATTAGGGTGAAAAGACTTGAAGCTAGTTGTCCCCCTAACTGGAATCAGTGCCTCCACAAGAGTAGGAACTCTGTCGGCCTGTTTTGCTGCTGCTTTCCTATCATCTACAGCACAGTTTTATAAATAAAGCTTTATTGTATTGAAATACACCCATTGTTGTTGTTGTTAAGTACCACGGAGTTAGTTCCAACTCATAGTGACCCTGTACAGGGTCTCCGAGGCTGTAAATCTTTACAGGAACAGAAAGCCTCATCTTTCTCCCACAGAACAGCTGGTACAGTTTTGAACTCCTGACCATACCCATTCATTTATTATTCTCTACGTCTGTTTTTGAGCTACAAGAGTAGAGCTGACTCATTGCTATAGAAACTGTTTGTGGCTCACACGCTGAACAGAATGTATTCTTTGTCCCTTTATGGAAAACATTTGCAGACCCTTGCTATAGAATGATATCTGGTACATCAAGATACTTGTTAAATTGTTTTGCCTGTCTGTTAGTTTCCTGTTCTATATCTTTCAGAAAATCCAGTTAACTTCACTGACCCTTGGTTTTTCTCAGATATAAAAGAAGGTTGGTGGTGCCTGTTTTTAGGGTGATTTGGGGATAGAGATAATGTATGTGAAGTATGTAGAATTGGGTGGTGGTACTGTCAGCATACTCACCTTACATTGTTGTTGTTGTTGTTAAGTGCCGTCGAGTCGGTTCCTACCCATAGCGACCCTGTACAGGGTTTCCGAGGGTGTAAATCCTTGCATTATTACTTACTTAATCATTTCTTTCTTCCATTCTCTTTCATTAGCAAGTTGTATGTGTGCATCACTGTCCCCTGCTCTGCCCAACTCGATCCCTTCCATATCAGAGACATTATGTTAATGGTACTCTAACCAAACGAAAACTCGAGATAAGGGCATGCGCTTGTGCTAATAATGTCTGCTGATTTGGCCACTCAGTCATTCATGTAAAAAGTGGCTACTCCGTGCCAGGCACTGCAACGTGAGTTGTAGGTACAACCACAAACAGACATGCTTTGCCATCAGGGAACACAGCCTGGTGAGATGAGACAATGATGTCCGAGTCATTCACGACTGTGAAGAGTTCTGGGAGCAGGGATGGGGAAGGGTGTTGTAGTAGGAGTTGGCTCTCAGAAAAGTTCATTATTGGAATCAATGAATCTTGGGGGAGAGTTGTCACTTTCAGTTGGAGTGACTTCCTTTTCTTCACTAGGGAGTCCGTGGATGGTCCAAGTGGTTGGTATGTTTGGTTGCTAACTCAAAAGTTGGGAGTTCAAGTCCACTCAATGGTCCTTTGGGAAAAAAAGATCTGATAATCGACTTCCAAAAACCTAGCCATTGAAAACCTACGGAGCACAGTTCTGTTCTGACACACATGTGACGCCATGAGTTGGAATTGATTAGACAGCAACCAGTTCTTGCTTTAGTAAAATGGACATATCTCTGTTTTATGAAAGTAGTTTCTGCTTGTCTTCCCTCAGTTTCTAGGCTCATGGGTGTCTGGTGAGAAGGGTTTGCCTAATGGTTCCTTGGCTTCCCTTCATTCTGACCCATTTGGCCCATGGCGTCAGCGCTGCCCCAGGCTGGCTTAGGGTGGCTCGTAGCTGTACTGAGAACATGAGTTGTGGCCAGCACCTGAGTAAAAGTTCCTTTTCTCTCAAATGCCTTTTTGTAAAGTTGTTGTTATTGTTGTTAAGTGCCGTCAGTAGGCCTGAAAATTTAAAAATAAAACCAAAACAGGTGGCATCTGGACTTATCCCAGGTGAAGTGATATGTCTTAAGCTCAGGACTTTAGTATATAGTCAAAAATAATCCAAGGCAGGTTTGGGGAAAATTCTCTTTTGTGGTTGCTGTTCTTTTAAAACAGTTTTTCCTTTGCCTGTTATCTTGGAAACTCTAGCTTGTTGAGCAAAAGCATTACAGAACAGCATCCACATTGTCTGGTGTCTTGGATGAGGGTGCAGGGGAGGAAGGAACACATGGGAAGTCAGAGAGCCATGGCCAATATCCTATTCCTTCCAGCACATAGATTGCTATCTGGCCCTGTTTAGAACCAGAAGGAAAATATGGGGTGATATGCAGATTTTACAGAAGCCTCATGACAGTGTTTCTAACCCGTTTTGTCTTCCAAACAGTCACTGGTGGGTGGTGGGGTCTAGCACGGAGCTGGCTCTCAAGACACGGCGAATGATGAGCTCCGTGCATCTGTGTGTGGGGTCACTGGGAGCTGGGGCTGACCTCCCTTTTCTACAATCGACATTTATTCCACCCCAACCCCCACTCTCTCTCTCCATCCCAGTTACCTGACTGACATCGACCGAATCGCCACACCGTCCTTTGTGCCAACACAGCAAGATGTGCTCCGGGTGCGAGTGCCCACGACAGGTATCATCGAGTATCCCTTTGACTTGGAAAACATCATCTTTCGGTAAGACGGTCTCCCCAAGCATGGCCAATGAGTCATTTTTCTACCCAGGATTGGAAGTTCCCAGATGTGTTTGTTTTGGTTTATTGTAGTAACATACATGTAAGAAGACATTTGCCATTTTAACCATTTTTGAAACGTACTTTTCCATGAGTTTAATTACATGCACTGTGTTGAGCAACCATCACTACCAACATTTAAAAGAATGTGTGATGCTAAACCCCTCCATATAGTGGAGTCTTGGTGCGGCCCAGCGGGATAACGCACTGGACCGCAAATTTCAAATCCACCTGTCGCTCCTTGGCAACCCTAGAGAGGGCCACTATGAGTAGGAACTGACTCGAGGGCACTAAACAACGACAAGTCTTATAAGCAGACTACTTACAGCTGAGTAATATGAATTTCCACTTACATATATAAGGTGTTACAGAATTGCAACCTTTAAAGCTCCTTTTCATCCAGCATTCCTCCTGAGAATGCCCATCACGCACACTTTTCGAGCTGAGACAAGAGCCCTGTCTTCCCATGTCTAGTCCCTGTCTGTTCCCACCCTCCCACCACAGTGCAACTCAAAACTCGTCAGGTTGGAGGAGCCCTCTTGTGCAGCCCCCGCGATGTTCTGCATCTGTTTAAGCACATCCCTGAATTTGAGGGCAGTCGTGTGCTTGTTTGCCCACGGGTTTATTTATACAAACCATTCAGAGCCAACTAGTGCCCATAGCTTCCAAAATTCTCTCAGTCAGAGATTCCCAAGATTAAAAGAAGAAGAAGATGACTTTGACATTTCTTCTCTTTTTCGCGAGCTTTGATGTGTCTGGTTAACAAGTTTAACATCCTCCACCAGTGAACACCACGTGTCCTTTCCTAGCTCATTGCACCTCTGCCCGGTGAATCATTCCAGGTGGGGAGTTTTGACCTTTGCAGCTGAGTTCCTTTGACTGGCTTCTTCAAGTCCAATCTCGTGATCATTTCCGTTTTCCTTTCCAGCGCCCTCCCTTGCTGTTCCATGTGAGGTGGGCAGGGCAGCTGTGGCTGTACCTCTACCACAAGAGCAGGGCTCCATCTTTGATTTTCTTCCCAGTACCTTTGGAACAGCCACCTAACCACTGGTCCAGTGTCTTATGGAATGGGTCTGTCACAGAGGGTAGCCTTGGCAGTTTGTGGGCTATATCTACTCTACTGCTGTGTTCTCTTGGCCCATTCAGTTTGTTTGTTGTTGTTGCTTTTTAAAATTTAAGCCAACATTTAACAGTTGGGGTGCTTCAATTAAAACATTAGCTTTCGAGTTTCTCTTGAAAAAATCAAAGGATCTGGTAAGAGTGAACCTGGTTTTTGCCTAGCAATAGTTGGTAGGGTTTGGTAGCAGCTCTTCTTTCAGATGGGATCACCAACCTTCACAAAGTTCATGTTTTTCTACTCAGGAAAGGCCCCCAGGTCTCGTGCATGTAATCTGTTTCGTACTTGGATTATTTCAGTTTGTGACCTCTGGGTTGAGTCTCTGAAACTGTAACACACACACACACACGAATGCAGTTGCCATGGAGTTGGAGTTAGAAATGTGCTTCATAGGTCATCAATAGCTGATTTTTCAGAATGAGATTGCCAGGCCTTACTTCCTGGGCACCTGTGGATGAACTTGAACCTCCAGTTCTTCAGTTAGCCTCCAAATGCATTAACCAGTGCACCATGAGGGTCTCCACTCTTTCCAAACACACTGGTAAAGGCTTTCAATTGTCCTATTGAACAGAAGGTACTTGTAGCCTCTGACCCCAATTCAGTGTCAGTATGAGTCGGAACCAACTCAAGGCACTTAACAACAACTACAACAACATAGGAAGAAGGGGTTGCCTTGGCTAATGCAGAAAGGATTTGTGGGTAAATTAGGGTATCCATGAAAAACAAGAAAGGTCCTAGGGTCAGAAGAAAGCTGGGTGGGCCTGCAAGGCCACTTGCCTATCTGCTCCTGTGTCTAGTGACCTGGATTCTCTGTCAGTCGGAGCCCAAACCAAGTGAATGCTGTGTTTTCTGCCTGGACTGCTTCCCAACCAGACCCCCAGGCAGGTCCACCTGAGTCATTTCTGCATTTGTATTTAAACCTTCACTTTGTTTTGTGACTCCTTTGCTAGGAAACATCCAGGGATTTCCCATTGCAGTGGTGTGCAAATGGTTTAATCTAAAAATTATTGAGGACCACAAAGGGCACCATTTTCTGTGGAATAATGATGTAAGTCTTTTACCCCCAAAGGGTCATGTGTTCCAACTGTTGCATGATCTTCTGGGTTTCTGTTGGACAGGATGGTGGATGTTGGTGGCCAGCGATCTGAAAGACGGAAATGGATTCATTGCTTTGAAAGCGTCACTTCCATTATTTTTTTGGTTGCTTTGAGCGAATATGACCAGGTCCTGGCTGAGTGTGACAATGAGGTATGTTGGATGGGGAATTGAATTAGCTCTAGAAGACGAGACCCATCTCTACAGCTTTCAAGAAACCAGGCAACTCGGGCAATAGGCCCCATTCCTAAGGCCAAGGAGTCTTGGTCATCAAAGTGTAAGTCCTTGAACTAGTAGAGGAGGCTGGGTATTTGTTAGACGTGAAGACTGTGAATCAACCCAGACCTATGGCATCAGAATCTGCACTGTGATCTAAGGAAGTTCAAATACACACTGGCCTGGAACCTAGGTTCTCAAACTTGGAATCATGCTGGAATTCCTAAGGAACTTAAAAAAAAAAAAGTGTCCAGCCCCAGAGATTCTGATTTAATTAATAGTGGGTGTGGCCTGGGGCTGGGTATTTTTAGATGTTCCCCAGGTGATTCAAACCTACCAGCTGTTTCTTGGAAGCCCTAAAGAGTCGCTATGAGTCAGAACCGACTCCACGCTCTCAACAACTGGTGGCTCTAGTGCACTGCTAAGGTGAAAACCACTCAGAAGCAGAGGTTTTCATCTCTGGCTGCACACTGGGAGCTTTTTTAAATGTCATCATTTAGACCCCACAAAAATGATTCTTACTTACTGAGGCTTTGGTTAGGGTATCTTTTCCAAGCTCCCCCAGGGCTTTTGCGCAAAGTTGAGAAACACTGTTTGTAATAAACTTCATTTGAGCAGTTCGAATTTCTATAGGCCCATAAACCAAAACCAAACTCACTGCCATGGAGTGGATTTCAACTCCGAGCAACTCTGTACAGAGTTTTCAAGACTGTAAATCTTTAGTGCTGATGAGTTTGAACTGCTGGCCAGCATTTAGCAGTCCATTGCTTATCCTGTCGTGCCCCAGGACTCCTCCATAGTCCCATGGCACTCCCCAAGTAGGTCCGTAATTACTGCCAGTGTCCCTTCTTGTTGTTAAGTGCCATCAAGTTGGTTCTGATGTAGGGTTTTCAAGGAGCAGCTGGTGGGTTTGACTTTGAGGTATGCAGTCCACTGCTTATCTTACAGCACCACACCGGACTCCACCAGTGTCCCTAGGTAGCACAAATCCTTTGTGCCCGACAAGTAACCTAAATGTTGGCAGTACTATGAAGTAAAAGCCTGGTGATGTGTTTCTGTTGACATCCAGCCAAGAAACCCCTATGTTGTTGTTAGGAGCCATCAAGTTGGTACTGACTCATATCGACCCTATGCACAACAGAATGAAACACTGCCCGGTCCTGGGTCAACCTCACAATTGTTGCCATGCTTGAGCCCACTGAAGCTGCCATATTGCCAATCCATCTCGTTGGAGGTCTTCCTCTTTTTCTCTGACTCTCCACCCTACCAAAAATGATATTCTTCTCTAGCGACTGGTCCCTCCTGACAATATGTCCAAGGTTGTGAGGTTGGGGAATTTTCTGTGTGGGGTAAGTCCTGCCCATCATCTTTCCTCTTAAGTTGACATGAGATCTCTTGAGCTTTATAAAACATAATCTTATACATTTATAAAAATGTCTCCAAGACATGAAAATCAATTATTAAAGGACTCTGTCCAGTATTAGGCAGAAACTTTGAACAAATGGGAGTCCTGGTGTGGCACTGTGGATTATTGCACTGGACTATAAAGTTGGTTCGAACCATAAGATTGGCAGTTCAAGCTCACCAGCCGCTCCTTGGAAACCCTATACAGAGTTGCTATAGATCAGAACCGACTTGACGGCACTTAACAACAACAATGAAAAAATTACAGGAGTCCTGGTATGATGCTGTAGGATAAAAAACTAGACTAAAATGTTGGTTTGAACTGCAAGGTCGATGGTTCAAACCCACCAGCCATACCTCAGAAACCTTATACAGGGTTGCTATGAATCGGAACTGATTGTATGGCACTTAACAACAGCAACAACAACATGAACGAATCTTGGCTGCCACCCAGCTTTTTCAAGTAGGAAGATTTTGTTTTAAAAAGCAAAGGCATCCAGTTATCAATATAAAAAATTATCTCCAAATTTGTCTCAGGAATCACTGTGACATTTCTCAGGAAATTCAAAAGTTTAGTCAGATGCTCAAGGGATCAGTACAGCCTGATGCGCTTAGAAATTAAACATGTTCTCCTCATAAATATCACAAATATTTACGGGAAAATGAAATGGGTCCACACATTGCCCACCTGGTTCTAGGTGAGCGTTAGATCTGCCCACCAGGCTATAGAGAAACTGTGTCTTCATATATGAATATGTAATTCCTTGGAGAGCTTTTTTGGCATGGTCATAATAAATGTAAACGGAGTTTTTAAAACAAGGCAGATAAAAGTGAGAGGTTACCTCTCTGGTAATAAATACTGGATCATATTCCTAAAACGTATCGAGAGGCAGAATAAGTATGGGTGTCTGGAAGAGAAGGGAAATGCACCACATCTCATTTATTGATAAGGTTGGGTTCCAAAGACCAAGTCGATAAGTGATAATCGGGGTTACATGAAAATGGAGGGATGACCACACCATATCACAAAATGGATTGGTACATAGCTGCCACAAACGACTGAATCCTGGCCCAGCCAAGCTGGTGCATAACCTCAACCGGCACAGCTAGCGTTCCTCTTGCCTCGCACCTCAGCATTCGTGACGGACATAAAATAGCTGCACAGCCTTTTTACCACTGACAGGCAATACGTGAGGAGCAGGTATGGAGACTCAGTGATTGTCTCTGAAGTGAATGTGCTGAAACACTTAGAACTAGAATGATTATTGTCACCAGGTAAGATTGGTATGTGTCCTGTCTGCTCTCCACAAATTAGGAGCCTTGGTCGCATAGTGGATTATGAGCTGAGCTGCTCACCCCAAGCTCAGTGGCTCCGCAGGAGAAAGATGAGGTTTTCTGTTCTTGAAAAGATTTACAGCCTCAGAAAGCCAATATAGGGTCGCTGTGAGTTGGAACTGACTCCACGGCATGCAACCACCACCACCAATACTTTCTTGTCTACATCTAGATTACTGTCCTTCCACCTAACCTTCCCTAGGTCCTACTAACTATCATATGAGCACGGGAAAGTTTTGTATTATTAAGAACAATAGTATGCTCATCCATAAAAATGGGGATGCTCTTCCCCTGGTTGAGCCTCCCTGTCTTACATGCATGTAAAGTATTAGCTTGCTTCCTTGCCAGCATCTGGAGGTGCCTGCCCAACTCGTAACTCACAAAGTGGGCTTCTCAGATCTGAAGCTAACTTCCCCATTTGATCGTTCCAAAATTGTAAGACACAGAAAACTATTGTCCAATGTGTATATGAACCTTCTTTTTCAAAGTTGCACAAAAGCCTTTCTCCTTTTCTTGCATTTGGGGTAAAGGGATTTGGAGCTTTGTGCAGGAGGCAGGAGGTACGTTTCATCCATGACAGGGTGGGGATAGGGCCCACCAGCTTCAGCGAGGGCAGAGACACAGGGATTGCAGCTGGGTTAGTGGAATGGACAGATGGAACCAGTCATGCGGTACATTGCTTCCAAAGTATTGCTTTTCTTTCTGGTTTATTCTAAGATCCTTGTTTCTCCCTTAGAACCGCATGGAAGAAAGCAAAGCCTTATTTAAAACCATTATCACCTACCCCTGGTTTCTGAACTCCTCTGTGATTTTGTTCTTAAACAAGAAGGATCTTCTGGAAGAGAAAATCATGTATTCTCATCTAATTAGCTATTTCCCACAGTATACAGGTAAGTCAGTGCAGGTATGGGGTTTGGGGTACTGGCCTCCCACACAGTCAAAAATCCATGTATAATTTACCGTTGACCCTTGAACAACACGGGCTTGAATCACCCAGACCCGCTTGTATGCAGATTTCTTTCCTGTTGCTGTTACCATGAGCTTAGTGTGATGAGACGCGCTATGGAGCGGTTCACCTCTTGAGGCATCTCCTTTGGAAAGCTTTTCTCACCCTGTGTTGGCAATCTGGTCCTCCTTGTGCTGGGCTGACCAGCTTGTGCTTGTCTGTTCATTCAGCTGTCTCCCAGGTCGGGACCAATCAGTGCCTGGTATTTCTCAGGAGTAGGTTGAAATGTGGCATCTCTTCATCCAGACCCAGGGTGGGTGTTGAAGCTCTTTATTTACATCACTTCTCACGGGGCAGGAGCGTATGCTCTCATTAGATCACATTGACATCATAGCAGGGAGCCCTAAGCTTTAAAATCAGACTTGGGTGCCTTCTGTTAGCTCCTACAATCTACCTTTTCCCTCTACTAGCCCACTTCTCTCTGGCTGTCTAAGGATGCCCTCCAAATTAAAGTTGGTCACTATTTTTAAACAAGTCATTTTATTTAAAGTGCAATTTTCTAGTACCAGTGGACATTTAAAAATACTATTTTATGGATTCAAGTTGAGGCACAATAAGAAATAACACTCCAGGGAAACTCTCCCTAGAAATAAAATAAGAAAGATCAATGAAGGATCCCAAATAAATACAAACGTCTTGCTGTTGAGTCGATTCTGACTCACAGCGCCCCTATAGGACAGCGGAGAACTGCCCCGTGGTTCATGGAAACAGACTGCCGCCTCTTGCTCCCACGGAGCAGCTGGTGGGTTCGAACCATGGACTTTCTCTTTAGCAGCTGAGTGCTTACCCTTCCAAGTGCTTACTGCTCCACCAGGCCTTCTTCCAATGAGAACAAGCAAGCAGTAAGCATCATTGTCGGGAGGACACCATGGTGACTCAATATCTATCTTCTTTATTCCTCTAATTGGACTTTGTTCCTCTAACTAGGACCAAAGCAGGATGTAAAAGCCGCCAGAGACTTTATCCTGAAGCTTTATCAAGACCAGAATCCTGACAAGGAGAAAGTCATCTACTCCCACTTCACATGTGCCACAGATACAGAGAATATCCGCTTCGTGTTTGCTGCTGTAAAAGACACCATTCTCCAACTAAACCTGAGAGAATTCAACCTAGTTTAAAAGCTGCTGCCCACTCCTCCACCACAACTGAAGACAAGCTTTAGCGACTCTTATTTGCAAATGCTCTAACATCACCTGACCCAATCCAATGCAGATCACAGGACAAAAATGGGCAATGCAATCTGGAAGAGATTTGAGTTTACTAAAACCGTTTTAAAGTCTTTATTCTCAGATTATTTTTTCTAGCTATTTCTCTGGTTTTGGCTGTACAATTGTGTAATTTTTGAATCTGATATTTTATAGACTTTTTAAAAGCCACTGTGATTTATTGTATTTTTTTTTATTAAGTGTGTTTAATAATAATGATTAAAAATCATGTAACAGCTTTTACTCAGAAGGACCTGGTAATTTATAGATCATGCATGCCTTTAATACCCGTAAGAAATTCATTTGGGTGACTTTTTTTTAATTCTTGAAGAATGTTAATAGGCTTGACGCTTTTTATTACAATCTGCAATTTAGAGACATTCTGAATTGAGTTTGTTTCTCCTTGTGCTGAAGAATGACTTCTTTAGCATGCTACCAAAGATTTTTTTGTAAAAAAACGTATTTTTCTTTTGTTAACTTGAATAAATCAGCACATCTTAGTTTTGACACAATTTTATTACTATGAAGCCAAAATTAATGTATAACAGGTAGAATCTAGCTATCATACACATTCTATTGATGAAAATGTGTGTGTAAATATGTATGTGGGGACTTTGAGAAGTTCATGGAAAAAATTATATTACCTTCTAATTCCATTTTCCAAGAACTTTTAAAACTCAACATCTCATTCCCCCTCCCCGCCTGTATATATTCCAATGTATAAGACCAAGTCTTGAAAATTTATGAAATGGCTGAAAGTCCAAATTGTTTAAGGACTGTTGTCTGTAACCCCTGCCACCATCCTGATGGCCACCACAGATTTGTTGTTTGAACTGTGTATGCTGTTCTTTTCTGAGAAGGTTAAGAATATACCATGATATTTACACTGAGTTATGTTGTATTTTTTTGAGCTCATGGTGGTTTGATGGTTCTGATCCTGGAAGGTCAAATGCTGAGACCTAATAAATCTTTGCTAACTTTTCTCCTTTTGAGGCAAGTCTGTATTCATCATCAAGTTGTATTAGGTAGGTGGTTCTGTAAAGCGGAGCGCAAGTCCCCTGCAAAGTACAAGTGCTTTAAAACAAAAAGGTGGTTTTGTTTCTGCGTTTCATTTGAAGGTATATACATATTGCACACTTGTGTGTGTGTGTACATATATCCCACTTATGAGATTTATCTCAAAACAGTCTAGAGTGTACCTGGGCTGCTCACACACATATGGAACAATCCCAGCTTGCCTATGGTGGCATTAATTCATGGCAGCTAGTTGTGGATTCTCAAGTTCTCACTCTGTTAGAATAATTCCAAGTGAAACTCTTAAAAGAACTGAGGTGCATCAGTGCTGGAAATGATGGAAGTCTTGTTTGTATCTAGTGATTCTACCATAGTAACATGAAGCTTTAAAAATGAACCCTCACTCAAGAAGAGATGAATGCAAGGACAACAGTTTTTGTGGAAGTTGACACACTGAAGCTAACACTGATTGATCTGGAACAGAGATGGTCCAGGAATAGCTAAGACAATTTTTACACAAAAGAACAAAGACAACTAGCTCTTCAGAGAATCTAGAAACACCCTTCCTGCCCTAATGGGCAAAAGATTTTGAACAGGTTTTGATTAACCAGTTAATATGTGAAAAAAATCAGGGACATTAAACAATGTGGAATTTTGCTTTCTGTTCTAATAAGCAGTTTCTACTAATTACACTCTATATGTTACTTTAAATTTAATTCATCACGCAGATACATTTAAGAAACTGGTTTTTAATCACCTCTAGTTGTAAGAGGGCTGTTGAAGAAATCAGTCACAAAGGTTCTTAAGTTATAAAAAGGCTAAACTCTCCATTATCAAAGGTGAATAAATTACCTCCTTCGCTACTGATTCTGCAAGTAGAAGATTCTTGAGTCCCTCTTTCAAAATATACTGTTTACTTCCTGAGGAAAGGACTCATGGACTTTTTTTTTTTTTTACATTGACGGCATACTCTTTGTTACTTAAGAATTTATTGAGTGTCACTGTGCTCAAGGTTTTTGTCAGCAATTATCATGTTGGGCTGGAATGCTATGGGCTTTGCCTGAAAATCAGCACTCTGGCCGGTCAGGGTATGGCGCTGAACTGCAAGGTCAGTGGTTCAAGACCACCAGTGGCTCCTCAGAAACCCTGTACACAGTGTCACTAAGAGTCGGCACTTAACAATGTCATTAAGGCTACCAAAAGGGGTAGTTTAGATAGGTGAGGGAAGGCGATAGTGGTTCTAATTCTACACAGTAACTAAAGAAGAGGCAGACTGAAGACCAGAAATCTTTTATTTGACTCAGTTTATTTGAAAAAGATATATGTGATTAAACTAGGAAGTCATCTATCTTATCAAGCAATCCAAATCTACTGACACCTAGACATAATCACTATTATTTAGAGCATGGCCAACCAATTTTCAGGAAAAAAAGACTGAAGTCAGTTTCAAAAGGAAGAATTTCACTGTAAACTTTGTATTTTTATCAGGATAACAACAGCACAGCAGAGCCTCTGTTAACTGGCAACCGGGCCAGTAGGTCACAAAAGAGACAGGGGTAAGGGATGCAGAAATACTTAAAAAGCCGATCTTACCAATGCATTGTAACCAATGAGTAAGCATTCCAAAGAAACACACACTATTTGATAATACAAAAATTATTGAGAAAGTATTTTAAAGTACACATTCCCTGAAAAATTCATTTCTCGAATACATGTAGTCACATACAGAGATGTTGATTTCTAAATCTATGATAATTTACCTGACTTTGCAACACATCCCATGTACAATTTTTTAACAGTTTGTCAGTGTGGCTATAAAACCCCTAACTTGGAGAGCATTTCCATGTAATCCAGGCTACAGTTTTACTCCAGTGTTTTTCAGTGCAAGAATTGGGAACTCTGGGGAAACCAATGGAACGTGGAAAATATGGCTCATGGATTAAGCAAGAAATGTTGGTTTTACGACGTTATAGTTTAAGTACACTTCTGATTGCTATATATATATATATCCTGGTGTGGCACTATAGAATCAGCACTAGACTGCAAACTACAAATTCGGCAGTTCAAACCCACCAGCTGTTCCTTGGAAACCCTGTTCAGGGTCACTATGATTCAGCACCAACTCCATGGCACTTAGCAATAACAGTATATACATACACACACACACACATATATTTAGTGTTTCTTGTTACAAGGACTTCATTAATGACAGGACACATTACTCAGGCATCAGAGCATCAATAAATGAAAGGTGACAGGCACAGGCTGACAGTTGGGTGCCTACCAGAGCAGGTGTTTAATATATAATACAGATTAAGTAACTAGTACTTGCATAAATAAAAACTTTTAAAATACACTATCAACCTATGAAAAAATGAAGTTACATTTTTTGGATAGCCCTTTAGGTAAATTAAATGATCAATTTTTCTAGAAATACCAATTAATCCAGAGTACTACAATTTCCTTTTAATGATATGTAAAATAATTTGGCAAAAGAGGAAATTAAATGTAAAAAAAAAAGTTCAAACTAAAGAAACATGAATGAGGTTTGTAACAGAGCAGGATAGATCCAGTCTCTGTATCTCCTCAGTCAGTGTGGTGGCCTGCTTTTAGGATAAGCCTGAAACAAACTCTATTTTAGACTAATTGTGGTAGAAAGAAATGAAGCATATGAAAAAATTTATACTAATAGCTGTATTAGTCAATGAATGAAAATACAGATGACTAGAATCAGAAACTTTAATTGATTAATGCAAACCTAATTAGTATCAGCAGTAAGGCGCTTAGAAAGTGTATGTCAAAGAATTAGGCAGTAAGTTGAACCAGTTCCCTTTCAGTCTGCAAAGGAGCTGTGTGTCATGCTTAATAGCACCAGAGAAAACCAGGTTTACTAAATTCAATACTTAATCCTGCAGGATTGCAGGTTATCTAAATTTTCGATATGGACCTTAAGGAAATGAGGAAATGCAATTATTTTTAGCTAAATCACACTGACATTATATAGCATCCCCCAGAGAATGAGTGTTTTGACCTTAACGAAACCATGCTTTCTATAGAGGTCTCTGCCACCTATATCCTAGGGAGTGTGGTGGCTCCATAGGAAAAGCACTGTACTGTGAAACACAAGGTTGGCAGTTCAAGCCCACCAGTTGCTCTGAGTGAGAAAGATTAGGCTTTCTGCTTTCACAAAAAATTTGAAGCCTCGGAAACCCTACACAGGGTTATCGTTATGAATCAACACTTAATAACAGCCACAGATTAAGTTGTTAAGTACTGTCTAGTCAGTTCTGACTCATAGCGACCCTGTATAAGGTTTCCAAGAAGCAGCTGGTGGGTTTGAACCACCAACCCAGTGGTTAGCAGTCCGATGGAGCAAACTCAATCCACTACACAGGAGAATTTCTGCCCAATTCCAGTAAAACTCTTAGTGGAAAAGGAGTTAAAATACATCGTTAAATGATGTACTGTGACCTCTTGGGGGAAGTGTTTCTGAGTCTATTTTGTCTGGTTCTAGTGAATCGTATGTGACTATCTGATAAACACCAGAGGGAAACATTTTATAAACCAAAATACAATTATTCTATTTTCTCACTCTATAGAAGACCACAGTGCCCACAATCGGAGCACTGCCTGAGTTGTGAACTATTTCCTCGTATCTAGAGTCAGCCTCCACCACGGTTCCAGCAATCACTGATGGCTTCAGCCTGCCAGAGGCAATGGCTTTTAAGCTTTATTTACATATTTTAAACCACATTCCCCAAGAGGAAAGAAGACTTTACATTGTGACCCAGTATGTGCAGTATTTCACAGCTACAGTATTTCAGGGAACCCTTGTTAATTAACATGCAGTGCTATTCTTTCTTCTCCGTTCCACAAGGTTGGCAGTTCAAACTCAACAG